CCCACCATTGTAGTTATCATGTGCTAAGCTCCAACGAATCTGATGTAGGTCCACCTAGTTATCACAAGAAATATTTCTATCAGCGGCCACCTTCTTAAATTGTTCAACTTGACGATCGAACTTCTCTAAGTGTTTTGCTCCGGCTAACAAAATAAACAACCACACAAGTTAGATAGATTCATGACAAAATTACATGAAAATAAATAACAAAATTAAATGAAAAAGGCTTACCGACTCGAAATAGTTGCTTATACATAATTCTGATTTTAGTCTTCCTTTGCAAATTGCTTGCATAGTGTGGCATGCACCACCTCCACTCCCAGCCTCTTTCGATGTTATTCATGGCTTCATAGAGTCTCGCATGTCTATATGAAATGATGCATATATCATTTCGATCGGTCAAACCTTGAACGTGACTTATGAACCATGGCCAACTATCAGTATTCTCGCTCTCCACTATGGCAAATGCAATTGGAAAAATCATCTTCCAGCCATCAAATGAGCTCGCCATGAGTAGCACTCTTTTATACTTTCTAGTAAGAAATGTTCCATCAACAACCATGACTCCTGGACAATTCTTGAATCCATCTATACAAGGTCCATAAGCCCAGAATACTCACTAAAATATCGAATGTCCTGGTTAAGCTGAAGGAACTCTTACCCAATCAATCACCGATGTTGGCATCTTTCTCTTTACCACCCGCAAGAATGTTTGCAAATAGTCGTAGTATTCTTCCCAATTCCCATGCAACTTCTCCAATGCTCTTTGTTTCCCATACCAAGCCTTTTTGTAGGTAACTTGCATATTAAACTTATCTTTCATCTCGGCCTGCACAGTTAGAACACTCAAATTTGGTTGGGCACGTACCAAGTGTTTCACAAACTCATATATAACATCGACATCAAGATGGCGATGATCCGTCGGTTGAGTCGTACTGCTACAATAATGCACCAACTCGGCCTTTCTCAGAGTCCATTCGCCTCCCACACCTCGACATCCAAACCGCACCATCCAAGGATAATTGTCATCCTTGTGCTTCAAACATATGATCTTCCAGATCGAAGGTGATGACTCCACCACGTTATACTTAAATTTACGTTGTAGTGCGTAGTGTTTAATCGCCACCTGTGCAACTTGTTTGGAGTGAAATATCTGCCCCTTGTAGAATTCTCCATCAAAACCAGCAACAATAGGCATTGGAATTACGCCATATGAATCAGCAACACATAATTCATCGTCCTCTTCATTACCCTGCAAGTAAAAATATGGAGGATAATTAGGTTGTTCTCCTTCCTCCTCCTCCTCCTCCTCATCATCATCATCATCATCATCTCCGTCATCACCGTCATCATAGTCATGATCGGATGGCACGCTCCAATATCATCTTATTCCTCTCCACCCTGATCCTCACTAAGCTCAACATGTATCTCAGCACCCAAACAATAAGGGTTTTGTGCAATACAATTCCAAAGCACATTCAAGCTATTATCATCCACAATAGGCATCGTATAATGAATTAAAACACCATTCTGCCATTCTGGAAGACAGTAAGTGAAACCTGTAATAAAAAAACTATCTTGTATTGCTTTGTCTTTACGCCATATTCTCCGAATTAGATTATCACAAAGTTTCTTATAGTTCACCCTGGATGGAACAGTCAACTGAAAACTTCCACCACCAACGAAATGGACGCCCAAATTGTCCTCTACTTTCTCTGATTTTCACCGAACAGCTAGTTCAAATATTCTAAAACCACTACATAAAAAACAAACTCGCTAATTACTAATTGAACAAAATCATTATAGCATTTGAAGACTACATTAAAAAATAAATATGTCTCTTACCTATTATTAGCCATCTTCCCAGCTACCAGACAGCAACACAGAGCTTCTCTCGTAACTTCATTGATTTTTTTTGGTGAAGAACCGAAGGAAAGGTGGAGTATATATGGTGTTGGAGTGGAAGAGGGAGGCAGCGACCACGCCTCAGTCTTGGGCGCCGGCGCTGAGACCATATAAACAGCGCTAACGCCCCAGTCTCGGGCACCGCCGGTGGCTTTTATTGAAAAATCAATATGTAGCGGTCGCGCCTGAGTCTCGAGCTTGGTCGCTGTAAACCTAAAAAAATATAATATATGTGTCAATTGTTTTTAAACCACCATATTAGTGGTAATTTAAAAAAAACAATATTTGTGGGATTAATCCCCTAGGATCCCACTCCCTTCCACCTCCCTCCACCACTGTCTCCATTCACACTTAGCTTGGATGATCGAAACTCCAAACATGGTGAATGGTAGTAATAATATTCATGTCCCCTTTTGTTTGACTGGTTTTGTTATAGTGAGAAACGAGTATTTTTTTATATCAAGCCTGGCTTATGTTATTACTGAAAAATTACTCTTGTCTCCTGGCCCCATGGCCCACATCATCCTCAATCAAACATCTGAGATACATTGGTGGGTTATCAACCCACACCCATTGCTGATCCCACCACAAACCCACATGAGCTAACCAGTGAGCCACCGAATTGGTTCTTCTAGGAGAGAAAACCCACCTAACCTTATCACCAACCAAAGATTCATTTATCGAAGCTAACTTCTTCAGTTCTTCACACTGAACCCCCAACTCAGTAAAATCTTCATCTCCATTATTCATTAGATTCACCAACAATTGGAAATCGGACTCGATGATCAGGGGGCCAAGCGAACGGCGGTTAGCCTCTCTCAACCCCATCAACATAGCTCTGGCTTCCGCTTCGATCGGTCGACACACACCTTTCTCCTTCTTCGCCAACTCACCCACGAACTCCCCCCGCCAATACCTGAAGATGCATCCAAGTCCGATACCCTGTTGTTGAAGGACTCTGGCGTCTGTGTTCAACTTGAAGAAGCCCTCGGGAGGAGGGGACCAACGGTCATTCTGTGCGGCACGGACTGCTGGTGGAAGAATGGTCACCTGAGAATCAGAGGGTGACTAGGCAGCGAGGTACGGCGACATCCATCCCAGAGCACGGGGGACTATCTCATCTTCTTCCAGCTTTCGATTGTTATACTTATGATTGTAGCGCTCCTTCCACAGGTACCATAGAATCGAGCAAAACCTTTGAACTTTGTCTTCTGGGTAATTTCTAAGAATAGTCCAAATCCATTCAAGGGTAGTCTTACCATCACCTAACTCAAAGAGATCCTTTTCCTCGCAGACTTTCCACCGCCTCCTTATCCAGTCACAATCGTGGAGAGCATGCATTTGGGAATCCTGGAAGTTGCAGAAAGGACACTCTGGTGCAGCATTATCGATCCACTCTTCAATATGGGCGCCTACAGGTAAGATTCCTCTGCAAACTTTCCGAAGAAAGACACGAACTTTAGGTTGAACATTAAGCTTCCATAAGAGTTTCCAAACCTCAGAGTCCTCCGGATTCTTGTTGTGGGATCGAGCCAGATACTGGTTCTTATTTCTCCTAATGAAATAATATGTTGATTTCACTAAATAAGCCCCATACTCCTCAGCCTTCCAAACCCTAGAATCGTGGCCAAGAGGTGTTTTTAGGGGGATCTTAGAGATGAGGTTCTAAACATTGATAGAGAAGAGGTTTTTAAGTTTTTCTATATCCCATCCCCCTGATCCAAAATCGATGAGGTTGCACACAAGATCCTCAGTGATCTCCCCCGTAGGAACAGGGTCAGCCTGGTAGAAGCTCTTACCAGGGAGCCATTCATCCTTCCAGATGTAGATCAATTCTCCGTTTCCAACTGTCCACCTAAACCCTTCCTCGATCTTCTCCTTTGCCCCAATAATACTTTTCCAGATGTAGCTTGGTTGAAAACCAAGTTTGGCCTGCATAATATCGGTCTTAGGGAAGTAGCGAGCCTTCAAAACTCTTGCCATGAGAGATTGAGGTCTAGTAAGCACATTCCAAATTTGTTTACCCAGCATCGCATAATTGAATGATCTCAAGTCTCGAAAGCCCATCCCCCCTCCTCTTTGTCATCACAGAGATCATCCCAATCCAACCAATGTATCTTAGATTCTTTTCCTTTCTGCCCCACCAAAAGTTCGAGATCAGTCTTTGAATTTCATTCAGGGTACCCTCCGGGATATGAAAAACAGACATAGGATAGAGGCATTGAGCCTGGGCTATCGCTTTAATCATAATCTACTTGCCTGCTGCAGACATAGTTATGCTTTTCCAATCTTTTAGCTTCTTTCAGACCCTCTCCTTTACCTCCTAAAAAATGGCCTTCTTGGACCTTCCCACAACAGTGGGCAGCAGGCCAAGGTATTTAGGCAGCTTTTCCACTTCTTTAATGCCTAGAGTTCCACAAATCTCCAGTCTTCGGCTAATCCTTACATTTGTGCTAAAAGATAGTTCAGACTTAGAGAAATTTACCAGCTGCTCCGATTCACTAGCATAGATTTTCAAGATTTCTTTCAGCTGGTCACATTCCTTTAGCACAGCTTTCCCGAAAATAGCACAGTCATCCGCAAATAGTAGGTGTGAGATAGTTGGCTTTCTTTTTCATTTGAATTCCATGTAGACTCCTCTCCTCCTCAACTTTCTTAATAAGAGCAGTAAGACCTTCAACGCACAACAGAAATAAATAGGAGATAGCGGGTCTCCCTGCCTAAGACCCCTTGAGGGTGAAAAACTTTCTGATTTATGCCCATTCACTAGGATAGAGTAAGAGACAGAGGAGACACGCTTCATTATAAGTCCAACTCATCTTTCCTCAAAGCCAAGCTTCTTCATAACTTTTTCCAAGAAATCTCATTCAACACGGTTGTAGGCTTTGACCATATCCAGTTTGACCGCAAAGAAACCATCATTCGCCTTCTCCCTTCTCTTCATATACTGAAAACATTCAAACGCAACAATAACATTATCCGTGATGAACCTTCCTGGGACAAAGACATTTTGTTCTTCCGAAATAATATCATCCAAAATCAACTTTAGTCTATTAGTCAGGACTTTAGAAATAATTTTATAGAACACCCTGCAAATACTAATAGGTCTAAAATCTTTCGCAATATTAGGAGATTTCACCTTAAGTATAAAAGCGATGAGTGTGTGATTAAGCTCGGGAGGAAGATCGCCTTTGTCAAAAAAATTGTTCACTGTCTCAGTCACCTTCTGACCAATAGAAAGGCGTTTCAACTTTCAACAAAATTCACAGTAAAAAAAAAAATCCAAGCTGAGAATTAAATCATCCATCGTCTACGTCGCTCGCCCAAATACTCCTCCGTCCTGGAATTACTTCGCCCCCTTTGAATGCTTCGCCCCAAGGCAACGAATTTCATACTTCCCTTCTCCCATTATATACCTTCCTCTCGACCTCTCTCTATATCTCCCTTTCTCAGGCAGAATATCATACGGCTGTGAAAATGGCGGAGACCCGCAATCACGAGGACTTAGACCAGCTGCTCGACAGTAATACCCACTTGCCCTCCTCCTTTGCTCCGCGATTTCTCATCTCAAGTTCCGACCTTTTTGGGTTTATGTTTCACTGCAGGTGCTCTCGATGATTTCCAGAGTCTCAATTTTGCGGCTCCAGCCTCAAAACAGCGGTTCCGATTCTTCCTTTTCCATTTGTGCTTCTCCTTTTGTTAATTTTTAGGCATGTTAGTTTAGAGAAAGATGTAATTGGTAATGCAGAAGTGGTGGCGGTGATGAAGAGAAGATGAAGGTTGAAGGGTTTGGTGATTTGCCAGCTGGGGTTCAGGGTTTGGGGATGGGATTGCCCGACTTGAAGAAGGGCAAGAAGAAAGGGAAACAGAAGGCGGCGGGGGATTCTTCTACTGGTCATGTGGCGGAGGCGCTTGACAAACTTAGGGAGCAGACCAAGGAGGCTGTGAAAGGAATGGAGTCTGTTACTACCACTTCAAGAGGTGATGAAAATAAGGATGTTGCAATGGAGGATTGGGTTAAGCAGTTCGAGGAGCTCGCCTCTAATCAGGTGAAGTTTCAATCTTTTCTCTCTCTAATGCGAGTGTGTGTTGTGAACTTTGAGTTGTGAGGGCTGGTGAGAACTCAGTCAACTGCTTCATGATTTGGTCTTGGTTCTCATGTGTAGATCGTTATTTGGGAATGGAGGTCATTAGTATTAACAAAATTCAATTTCCTAAGTGGTCATTGACTTGTTGAGTTTGATAATTGGTTTGTCTGTGGTCGATCACCCTGAACTACTGACACGGAGGGTCTCCTAGTAACTAGCAGTTGTTTTTTTGCTATTGATGTGAGCAAATATTTGGAATCTTCTTGATAGTCTAGACTGTCTGTGACATTTGAGTCTGAAACTGCTCATAGAATGTATATTCACTTTGATAAGTCTCTTGGCCAAGTAAGGATGGAAAATGAGGTTCGCTTTCTTTGTCAATGGCCTGTGTAGTTAAAAGTTGGATGTTATATGATGTCTGCTGAAATTCATGGATGTGTGCTTGCCTAGGAACTCGGTTGTGAATTATTCTTAGGGAGGACAGATGTATGGGGAAGGACAATCTAGCAGTTCAGACTTCAGACTATCATTTTGATCTCATTTTTATTATTCATTCTCGTGTTTCTTTCGAGCCAACTCTCCTCCATTTGTGGAATCAATAATGTATGGTCACGTCTTATCATTGTCCAATGTTTTACCTATGTATTGTGTGACTAATCCTATCTTCTTCCTGTTTGCTTCATTTGCAAACTCTGCAACCTCAGTTGTGAATTATTGTCACGGATTAACTTCACCCAGCAGTTAGTTTAATTCCAATATACAGGAATCTATTCAGTTTGCAGTTCTGAATTCTGATACCTAGAATGGGTTTTCTTGTGATTTAAGAAGCTGAGATGCATGTCTTCTTGAGCTGGAAAGGTTACGTGAAATTTGGAAGGGGGAATAATTCCTTGAGATGTAATAGATTTTGGGAGCGGAAGAGTTAGATTTTACGCGTTTTGAGGAAAGATTTCTAAACTTAACTAGGCCATACTGTTTCTATATATGTTTCTGACATCTTGAAGTCTACGCTCTTTGTCTATGATTATCTGGAACACTTCTTCTGTTTGTGCCTAATGTAGTGATGTTCGGCCTTCATAATCTTACTTTGTTTATCTTTTCTCCTCCTCCCATGATTAGGACATGGAATCTCTGGTGGAGTCCATGATGCAGCAGCTGCTGTCAAAGGAGATTCTTCATGAACCCATGAAGGAAATCGAAGGGAGATATCCAACATGGTTAAAGGACCATGAAACTAGTTTGAGCACGACAGAATACGAACGTTACTCCCAACAGTACGAACTCATAAAAGTTCTGAACCAGGTTTATGAGAACGACCCCAATAACTACACCAAGATTACCGATCTCATGCAAAAGATGCAAGAGTGTGGACAGCCACCTGATGAAATCGTCCGGGAACTCGCTCCTGATCTTGATTTGGCTAGCCTTGGTCAAATGTAAGTGCTTAAAACGCTCTTCTACCTAAGATAAGTTATTCATTTTGCAATGTCATGATATGCGTCTTAAGAGATGCCCTTTTTCTTCGCCTTCTTTTATTTTGCAGAACACCGGAGATGCTCGAGTCCCAGCAAAACTGTAGCGTAATGTGAAGGAAGACAGACACCTTTGCTTATTTTGCAGAACATCTTCACATCTTGTTCAACTCTTTATTCCTGTAGCTACTTTTGAGTGAAACATTCATCTAGACAAGGCAGCCTGGTCTGGCACCGTACAATACGAAAACACACAAAGGAACGTGATTGATTGTCAGTTGTCAGCAATGCAATCTTCAGTGTTCTGTATCAACAATCTCAAGAAACCCCATGTAAAGCAAGCAAACCACAAGAACTCTGTATAACACAAAACTTCTCTTTTGTATGTTCCTCTTAATACTGGTCTTCCGCGTTTGAGAGTATGATTTGTAAGACTTTATTGAGTGTGAACTTCGAAAGAATGAATGAATCGCGTGCTGCAGATAGACAGGAAGGAAGAAGAATGACTTCTAGAGCAAGTAAAGCATCAGGTGGATGCGAGTGTCTCCCATTGACAAAACTCTTGGCTAGAAACTTGTGTGCAGAGTCATAATCTAGCTCTGTTGGCAATGATACCCTCTCACTTGTGAAAAAAGTCACAAAATACACTAGTTAATAAAAACAATTTCAAAAATACGTTAGCTATAAAAAAATTTCCCAAAATACACATGTTTGACATTCACCGCGCCTTTGTCTAAGGCGGTGAATACTATCACTGATTTGCTCATAAATGGTGAAGCCATCACCGCGTTTAACTAAAACGGTGAAAACTTCATTGTGTTCGTTTACAGCGGTGATTGCTTCACCGTCTTTGAGTAAAGCGGGGAAAGAGTTCACATCGCTAGGTTACGACGGCGATTGTTTTTCACGTTTCCCAGACCTGGCAGGTGAAAATTAAGTCACAACCACCTAACGTTCACCGTCTTAGGGAAACGCGGTGATTACCTTCACCGTTGTCGACAACGACGGTGAATGTTCCCTGGTTGTCAAATAAATACCCCTCCCACGAGCAGTTGGAAAAATACCAATGTTGTCAAAACCGAACCGGAGAATGACCCGGTAATATGAACGGCTCGCACTTTAGTGGTCCAACCGCTATTAGATCGTTTAAAAATCGTTAAAGAACCGGTACCTTATAAACGATAATATCATAAGTAGATGACATATAAGGTAGTAAGTTAACAATTTAATGACTAAAATAAAATTTACCTTTTAGGTACCACTTAGTAATTTTACATTAAATATATTTCCACTCAAAAAACCCTACCCCCATTCTACCAGCCGCCCCATCTTCTTCTTTCTTCTTACTTGTTCTGTTGTTCCCCTTACTGCGCCGCTCCCAACTCCATCACCACAAATCACTATGTTGTCTACTCTATCTCCGCTATCACTCTGCTGGAGACCAATCGACGGCGGAGCTGTTGCGGTATTGGCTGTGCTCGCGTCCAGAACAAGGGAGGGGGAGCAATCGATGGACGGCTAGAGAAGGAGAAGCTATTATGGCTTCACCGGCAGCGGGCGTCCATCGTCGCTGGGAGAGCTGCTTCGGCGCAGCCTTCGCGTCTTCATCAATCCTTCAAATTTTTTTTTTAATAGTGGACGGACGGGTCAGGAGTGAAAAACCGGTCGGACGGTTCGAGCGGTTTGAATGGTTAACCATTCCGACCGCTCAAAAACCGACCTTCCTGACCGTTACGGCTATTAGAGGGTTCCGACCCGAGCTGGCGTCCGGGTGCCGGTTTTACCGGTCCGACCGACCGGCTCGGGTCGGCTTTAATAACAGTGAAAAATACTCTCCCCCTCTGTAAAATTTAAGCAAAAATCCCAGCAACTACGATAACAGAAGCAATTTTTCGTTATGACTTAATTTCGTATTATTTATATAATGATGTTTTAGTAGTTATATGTATGTATGTAATGAATTACTGTTCGTGGCAAATATGTTATGAATTTAGATGAATTTATTTACCATACTCATATTTTTGTAATGCTAGTTTTGATTCATGTTTCGATTAGTTAGTTGCGTTTGTTTATGAGATGGAGTAATATTATTTTCGCAACCGTAAAATATGGTTTTGGTTAATTTTATTGGACTTAACCTAATAGTTACTTATTATAAATTGCAGATATGGGTAAATTCAATAAGTTTCAGCTTATTATTCGGTGGAATGGTAGGGTGACAAACTCTGACACTGTGATTGATTATGAAGACGGTGAATCCACTATGTTGAAAATTGAGTCGAGATTCACGTGGCAAGAACTCCGTGACATTTGTGCAGAAAAAGTTTGTACGGGCTGATAGACTGGAGTTGGTAAAACTACTTACCGGTATCCAGACATGAGTGCTAGCGGGGTTGTGTACCAAGAAGTTGTCATAAACGACGATGACACTGATACCATGATGTTACAGTTCCTAAGCGATAACGGGATGCGGCTTGCAGAGGTTTATCTTAAGACCGAGGCGGTCAGTGAAACTCATCCTCACCATTATTCTTATGATGATGGTTTTGCAGGAGGGTACGGATGGGGTGGTAGTTCAAGCAAGTACGAATCAGGTGGTTATACAGGAGGGTATGGATTGGGTGGTAGTTCAAGCAACTACGAATCAGGTGGTTATACAGGAGGGTACGGATTGGGTGGTAGTTCAAGCAACTATGGAGAAGGTAGTTCTGCAGGAGGTGTGGCATGGACGCGGGTCTTGAGGTGCGAACATTGGAAGATGCTCCCATGCCCAGAGCTGGAGGATGAACATCGCACCACCGGCTTGTTTCACTCACATCTTCGAGCAAGTACACAACTCCTTATATACCCCAGCTAATACGGCCGACCCCCAACTCTTTTCCCCGATCGCGTCCCAGTCACCGAGTAGCAATGACTAGGGGTGGAAATCGGTACGGTATCGGTATCCCAATACCAAATACCGAAATCCCGAATACCAAATTACACCCTAAAATCAATCCCAATCCCAATCACTAAATAATTTCGGTATCCCAATCCCTAAATAATTTCGGTATCCCAATCGGTACCTCGGTATCCCAATTGGTATTATCGAATACATAATTAATTACCTTTACAATTAATAATTAAATATATAAATTAGATTTTATTGTTTAATTTAGGGCAAAGAGACTAAGCAAATAGTCTTGAGTTGCCTAGAGCTAACATCTCAAATTCTTGTAATTGATAATCTTTAATTTGACGAGTTTGAGGTTGAGAGACGACTAATACTAGTGTGAAATAGTGATATAATGATCTATGAATAATTAAATGACGAATTTGGTGGTTGATGGTCGCGTAGTAGTGAATGAGAGAGTCTAGTTGAGAGGATTAAATACACACTAGCTTATATTTCGGTATTGATCGATATTTCGGTATTTACCGATCTCAATCCCGTAATCCCTAATACCAAATAACAATTGAAATTCAATCCCAATCCCAAAAAATAATACGTGTATTCGGTAATACCAAATGTAGACAAATTCGGTACGGTATTCGGTATATCCCAAATACCGATACCAAACTTCCAGCCCTAGCAATGACAACCATATGCCTTGAATCCAACTGTTTGCCTTGTCGGGGAATAGAAATCCATCGACCAAACCAATGAGGTAGACGTGTGCATAGCGCTCCACTTGATCTTTCGGAGTGTTTGGGTCGATTTCTACCTCATTTTTTATGTGAGCAATGAGCCACAAGATTGATACTTGTCCCGCATTCAACGGTGGATGCCCCGTCCTTGGACTGGAGTGGTGGTCGGCATGAATGACGGGAATAAGTGATTCCTAAAAAAATAGAAATAATATTGATTTGTTAGTTCACGAAAGCAAAATAAAAACTTTTAAAATAATTAAATAAAGTAAATTGTTTATAAGGTACGTAGTGTTTACCGGATTGTTGTGCCAAATTGCACTGGAGCGATGTGATTCTTGCTCGGATAAATACTTCGTATCTCTTGGCCCATAATGGATATACAATTGAGGATTGTATATCTCGGCACCCATATATAAAAAAAAGTAATGAAATCATATTGTTTTTATTAAAAAAATCACAAAATCATATTGTTTCGATTAAAAAAATAAATTACAAAAGGAAAAACAAGAACCTACCCGAAGAGCCTCTTCGTCCATTTTTTGATGGAAGCTGGATAGAGATTCGACGGGATTTTAGAGGTACGGGCTTTATGGTATAACTCTAGTAATTCTTTCTTATGTGGAAGATCGGACTTAGCCGTAACCACAGAGCATACTTAGAACGAAACTAGAGTGGAGAAATGGAGGGAGAAAGAAGAGTAGTGTGGTGGTTTGATTTGGAAGAGGGGAGAATGGTTCTATTTATAGGGGAAAGGGAGCGCTGGAAAATGATGCAGTGAACGATCACCGCGTTATTCAAAGGCAGTGAATTCCCCACCTTTCTCGAACACGATGAACGATGCGGATCGCTAACGTGGGAGGCTGTGAGGCATCGGATTTGGATGAAAACCAGAATCCGCGCCTCACTGCATCCGACGGCAACGGTGAAGGGGCTCAGCGACGCGGATCGCTGACGTGGACATCAGGGTATTCACCGCAATTGTCTACAGCGGTGAATGCCCCGCGGTAGTCCACGTCAGCAATGCGCGTCACTGAGCCACTTCATTGTAGTCGTCCAATGCGGTGATACCTTCCCTGCGTTTAATTAAAACGGTGAAGGCATCACCGTTTTTGTTTACGGCGGTGATAGGTTCCCCGCGTTTAACTAAAACAGTGAAGCCTTCACCATTTTAGTTGAACGTGGTGTACATATCACCGTTTTTGTCCTTGGCGGTGATTGTATTCACTGCCTTAGACAAAGGCGGTGAATGTAAACATGTGTACTTTGTGAATTTTTTTATAACTAACATATTTTGGGGGAAAAAATTATTGACTAGTGTATTTTGGGATTTTCCCCTTCACTTGTACACTCCAAAATACGTCGTTCTGTAGTTAATCAACCAAACGGACTAATCACTGTCATCGTTGGAGTTCCCGTAGTGTAGCCAAGGATAGAGTGGGCCTACCCAATTACCCTGCAGCTCAAGAATACAAGCCCGTCTTCTCGTCCGGGTGTCTTCTATCTTGGGTCGTGATGAACCCGAATCTTATCTGTATTATATGCCCGCCTCATTGTCCAGATGTGCTTCATTTAATGCCAATACTACGGTGCCGCTGTAAAAGGTATAGCATCGGTGTCGCGGATATTGATTGGTCCATGTTTATATTAATTTATTTGATTATATTATGGATATTCAAAATATTTTAGGTCTATTAAATTTTGACCTATGAGCTAATTTTTCCGTCAATCACTCAACAAGTAGTGAGTAACTTTTTATATTGAATATTAACACATTTTATTAAGTCATGAATTACGGTAGATTACCAACATTTATCGTTTCATAACAATCCTCCCCACATGATAAGGATTACGAACTTTGTGTACTCTCTCAACTATTATTTTATTTCTTCTCACCAAATGTAGATCACATTTGATCCTTCCTTGATCTGTCAAACATATTCATATCTCAAATAGTGAGGTCACCAAATAAGGGTCCCAC